TTTGATTCCAAAATGCACAAAATTCGACCAAAATTGCGGTGACAATTTTGTAAATATGTTGCACTTTTTCGTTACCGCGAAAAAGTGCAACAGAAACACGCAAAAGTGCAAGCAAAACATGCAAAAGTGCATTTCTTCGCACTTTGCACGGGAAGAGCTCTTTTTATTTGAACTCTTCCCTATATATATATATAGGGAAAATGTGCAAATGGCTCACCGCAATTTTGGTCGAATTTTGTGCATTTTTGGCTCATTTTGAGCCATTAGATGTGAAAATGAATGCATAAGATTCATTCTCACTTTGCATGGGAAGAGGTCTTTGTATTTGAACCATCCCCTATATATATATATATATATATATATATATATATATATATATATATATATATATATATATAGATTTAGGTTAATGTGAGAATATAATCTTAGGAGAGAAAAAAAGAAAGAATGAGAGCCCTTAGATTTAACTAGCATTTAAATCATTAAAATAGTTCGTATAAGGCTACACAAGTCATTTTGACTACTTTCCTTCCTAGAATTGTTGTGGCATTTATGAGACTTCCTTATCGTATTTAAGCTAAGGAATTATTTAAATAACTATTACTACGTATTATATTATTTATTCTCATCAAACATTTGTTTGACCCGGTCAAAATGAATTCTAATTTTATCTTTAGTTCATTCTTAACTTTTTTTCTTGTTTTACGTACAATATTTTATGTTTTATTTTTGTCATGATATTTTGCTTTTGTTTTTTACATATATCTTCTATTTGATTTTTTTATTTCACATTCTATTAATTTGATTAATCTGATCTATAACAAAGATGCATGCCACATTTATATGAATTTATTTCATATTTATTGAAAAGTGCACGACAACTAATACGTAAGTGCACAACATAATTTAGATTACTTTGATGCACTTACCATATCTTATTCATGCAGTTTTCATTATTTTTAGTTTACTTTTTGTGCAGATACAAGTAGCTCTAAAAATTGATGTCAAAATTAAATTATTGTCACGCTTCTAAAGAAAAGTGCATTGATTTGTAAAACATGTCAATCGTTTCAATTGTGTGATATAATAGTGCACTTTTCATATATTTAAAACATACGGAGTACACAATAAAAATACATTTGACATTCTAAGAAAGTACCAACCTAGAATTTTACAAAGTACTCTGTATGTTATAATAGTGCACTTTCGTTTATATTTTGAAATGCACATAATATCGATTTGTTTACACCCACTTATGTTTATTTTCATTTGTATTTAAAAATATATAGAAGTGCACAACTACAAAAACTAAAGTGCAAATTAATGATTAAAGTGTAAAGGTTAATATAATAAAAATACTATTGCACTTAATATATATATATATATATCAGGTGCATGTTTATAATATTTAATGTTTTAAATGCATTGTGCACTTTTTCTATAATTCTTATGCACAATATAAGTTTCCTATCAACTTTTTAAAAGGTACGTACATATGCATGTGTTGTGCTCATGATTAATATATTCATAATGGGAAATAATTGATATGCGAAAGTTTAGGATATTACTACTCTACTCTTAATTAGGCCTCTTATCCGTAAGCTATTTTTACATTTTTGTCCTTTCTTTTACTAATTTGTAACGTTGCATTTAGTTAGATATCAATGTTCCACATAATTACTTATTATGCCACCGTTACTTTTGCAATATACCTGTCGTTAGATCAAAATTGTTAATGATCTAGATGTGTTCTTATTTCTCTCCTAAGCCTTCATTATATATATATATATATATATATATATATATATATATATATAGGGAGGAGATCACATACAAACACTTCTCCCCATACAAAATGCAAATTAATTGCATTCGTCCGATTTAGGCAAATCAGTGGCCCAAAATAGGTTCCTCACCGTGTTGTTACATGATCTGCGAAGTAGGGGAATGGGAATTAGAAAACCCGTTTAGTAATTAGGGATAAAGATGTCATTTGATTTTTTTAAAATGGAACCGCCATAATACGGAAAAGGAAGGAAATCGGTATTGCGCATAATCCCCACTTAGATTCCAACCGCCCATGTATAGCAAATCAAATTAAGGAAAGATGCAGAGGTTGTTTAATGCTCCAACTAGCAAAGTCTGAGAAGCCGAAATATTTGCTTGAGAGCGGCGAAACCTTCAGCGAAGACGAAGAACGTCATTTGTGAAGATCAACGACCGGTGAAATTCCATTTGCGCAAATGGCTTCAGTTCAAGAAGAACATGCTTTGCGACAAGCTGCTTTGGCGTGCGAAGAAGGTATTTCTGTTGTTCAGATTAATATGTTTGCATGGAGGATGTTGTATGTTAGATGCACAAAGAGGAATGTGTGCATGCATTTGTGATGGACTGCATATGTAATGTGTTTTTGGATTATGTTGAAGTTAGTAATGTGTAATTGTTAATTAATAATATGGAATTGAATTTGAGGGAAAAGGGCATTTTGCACCGAGAATGTTTGTTTGTGTGTTCGTGGTTGGTGGGTGTTAATGATTAGATTAAGTATTGTGCAAATAAGTTTACGTTAAGGTGAAATAGATTAAAGTAATCTTAGTATCAATGTTGTTTTTGGAGTACGTGTTTGTTGAGTAGATATCATGATTATACAAAATGGTGTTGCAAAATGGATTAGGTAAAGGTGCAATACAGTAGACTAATCTGAGTATGAATGTTGGTTTTTATGTTCGTGCATGGTGATTGATTTTGATTAGAATAGTTATTGGTGCAAAATAGATTACGTATTGGTGCAATTTAGGTGATTTGGTTTGAAGACTAAGATGTGTGGGGTGCAGTTGAGGCAACTTAGAAGTAATCAAGGGTTCAAGTAAATACTTTATTTGTTAATTGCTTGGGGCAAAATAATGTAGGTAAAGGTGCAATTAACTTGTGTTTGAGGAAGTTGTTTGTGTTAGTTAAAATGCAGATAAAACAAAATTGTTTGGTGTGGATGGAATTTTTTTGAAATAACTTAGTTTATTTTGGTGCACAAGACATTAAATAAATATGCAATTGAACTGTGAAATAAATGCAGACAGTGTTTGTTTTCAAATGCATATTTATTTTTTGGGTGATGGAATTAATATGCAGATGAAGATTGGTTGTTATGCAAAGAGAAACGGTAAGTGCATTACAAATTGTTTATAGGTGCGTATAGGTGCTTAAGATGCAAATGATTGTAGTGGAATATGTATTTTGTATTGAATTAAGCTGTGGGTGTATTTGAATATGTTATTGATTGCATTATGTGCGGCATATCATCAATCGTAACATTGTTTTCTCAACAAGTAGTTAAGATGCACATGAATGTAGTTTGGTGTGCATATTCATGACAATGTACTAAGTAATCTAACAAACTAAGTAGGAACTGGATAAAACCACCAAACAGTTGTACAAAAGAGAAAGAAAGCAGCACCATCTCGGAGTAGTATGGCAAAGAAAAAGAAGGTGATTAATAAGGGGAAACAAGTACAATTGATGCCTGACAGTGATGGTTAGTAAATGTATACTTTCATTGCTTCAATTGTGTGTACTACTAAATTTGAGTGTGAGATTTGATTAAAATTTTAGGAGACAAGATTACTCGGCTCATGCAGTTGCATTCTAAGCTTGACAAACAAAAGGAATTGAGCATGCAGCTACGGGAAATTAGGAGCAAAACCAGACATGAATTCCAAGGTCAGTAATAGTAAATATTCATTGTATTGAATAGTTTACGGTGTATTAATGAGAAAGAATTATCCTAAAATGCGGGTTCATTTGTAGAAGACACTTTGGGTCTTGAATTGTTGCAAAAAGAGGTTGAGAGAATGTTGAAAAAGGAAAAGGCAAAAGGTGTTGCAACGGAGAAAACAAGCAGTGGCCCAGTTGAAGGTTTGATTACAACCTACTGTCTCCTCTACGTGTTGGTCAAATGTCATTCCTAGACGTGAACTTTTATTAAATTACATGCATTTGAAATACATATACTACGAAGTGAATTAGAATTAAAACGATGCAATTAATACTAAAATGATGTGCTCATTCATGTAGTGCCATTTTCAATGAACTGTTAATTTGAATGTGCATGATCTAAGGGTGCTCGTGGAAGCAGAAGCGGTGTGCAAGAAAGTAGTGAAAGAAGGAGGAGTGGAAGGCTAAATAAGGAAAGGGAAGTCTGTAATGAAAAACATAAGGATGTGGTGGTGCCTGATACCGAAGAGGGCAGTGAGGAAGACTTGAATGAAAGGGAAGAAGCTGTCAGTGATGAAGACTTCGTTAATTTACCAAAAGAAGTGGTGAAAAACGATAGAGCATGTGAGGGCAGACAAAAAAAGAAGGAGAGGAAGGCTGTTTTGAATGAGCTGAAGGTGCAGTACCATAGCCTATACACAAGATCATCACCGAATGTGGTGATGAATGCTTTGGCGAAGTTGACTAACAAACAACGAGAACAAGTGCATGAAGTGGGCTTTGGATCGTTATTAGAACTAGGAATCCAAGAGTTGCCTTCTAAACTTGGTTATTGGATTGTGGACAACTTCGACCCAATTAGTTGTTCACTGAAGATAGGTAAAGGACGGAAAGTTCACATCACTGAAGAAGATGTGGAGATGGTTTTGGGATTTCCATGTGGTCAAACAGGAGTGTTAAAGAAGGGGAAAGGGGAGAAAAGTGAAATGGTGGATGAGTGGAGGGCTTCTTTTGGCGGAAAAAATAAGGTAACTCCAATAGAGGTGGCACGTGAAATGCTAAGATGTGAGGAAGGAGGAGATTGGTTTGTAAGGAACTTCATAATTCTTGTTATATCTACGTTGATAGAGAATACAAGAAACGGATACATCAACTGTTCCTTCATAAACAATTTGAAGGACACAAAAAAAATTAAAGATTTAAATTGGTGCGAATACGTGATAACGGCTCTAATTGAGAAGAAAAGGGAATGGGCTCAAGGAAAGGAAAAAGCATTCACCGGTCCGCTCATTTTCTTGATGGTAAGTGCATCCTATTTTGATATAAATGTTGTTCAATATGCAGTTTGTGTGATATTTAGGTAGGGTCCTGTTTTATAAAAGGTGTGGTGCATGTATTTAAGATTTGTTCTTTAAGAATGATGAATAAGTTGATTTGTTTGTTAATGCGAGTGTATTAAAGTGCATTCGTAGTTACGTGAAAATGCATTTTAAGGACACATAAAATGAATTGGGTGTGATGGAAAACAAGGTGCATAATAGATAAGGTAAAGGTGCAAATGAATGTTGAGTGTGCAAGATTTGATGTGATTGTGATGAAGTTAGTATGCATATTAAAGTACTTGAATATAAAGAGTGTGTGGTATTTAGGTTGGGTCCAGTTTTATAAAAGGTGTGGTGCATGAATTTAAGATTTGTTCATAAGACTGATGAATTAGTGATTTAGTTAGGAATTGTAGTTTCTGAAAGTGCATTTACAGTCAAGTGAACTAGCATTTTAAGGCCATATTAAGTGATATTTTTTTATGAGGGAAAACAATGTGCACAATACTTAAGGTAAATATGGAAATCAATAATGAGTATGCAAAATTTGATGTGCTTCTGATGAAGTTAATATTCATATGAATAGCGTTAATAAAGTTGAAGTAATTCTTTTATTCATATATTTTGTAGGTGTTATATGTGGATAGGGTGGTGGTATATAGAAGAAGCGTTCCAAGGAAGGTTCCAGCTCTAATAGGATGGAACACACCGTTATTGAGGGAGAGAGAATCAGAAGAAATAGAGGCTGGAGGATTTGGTTTAGGGTATCTAGACGAGAAGATGACAATCACCCGAGAGACCGGGAAAAGTGTCCATGCTGAAGACAAAACAGAGGATGTGGGAGAGCCCTCGACAGCACCGGGTGCAGAAGAGGTATAGGAAAATAATGTGTTTATGTGCAAACAGAAGACTACATGTGGGGTGCACTTATTTGTATTGTAGCATGCTTATGAAGGAGTTAATGTGCAGATTAGTTATTTTGATGTGCAATTATGTGTACTGTTGTGTGCTTGACTCCTCCTTTCCCAGATTGTTGCTTCTAAGTTAGCGAAAACTTAATTTATCTTTTTTTTTTTTGCAAATTACAGGACGTTCGGAAACGCTTTGCTAATAAGACCATGACATTTGTTAAGAAAACGACTGAAATCATGAAGATGTTAGATGAAGCTCCTGATGTACTTCGTGGAAGTGAAGAGTTCAAAGAGTTAGGTGAAGCGACGAATATGTTGATGGCTGTTTTACAGAAGCATTTTCAGGATTTTGCCACACCTACACAGATGGACAGGGAGATGGAGGTATTTTGGTCGAACCCGGTCAACCTTGAAATCTTAGCACACGCTGAGGTGGATAGTATAAAGAGAACAAATGTTCCTCAAAGGAGGGAAGATCTGTCAACATTTAGTATAGGTCTCACACAAGACATTGCACCGAATGAAGTAAGAGATGGTGCTCTTCTGGGGTTTGAGAAGAACAATATACAAGAAAAGGGGAAGGACAAAGCCGATGGCAGTGTGCAGTTTGTTTTAAATGACGAAATGGTAGTGGGTGGGGGTCAATCAAGTTCACATGTCAATCGCTTACCGGAAATCAGAAAGGTAATAAAAAAACTGTAAAAAGGAGTGATGTTTTGATTGAGTGCAGATGAACTGGAAGGTGTATGCAGATTTTGTTTGCTTGAAAAGTGAAGAGTACTATTTCTGTTAATATCTTTTTACATGAATGCCAACAGGAGATTGTAGAGACAGAAGAATTGGGACAGCTAAAAAGAAAACAAATTGCTGGAGCTACAATGAAATCACCCTACTTAAGAAGAGTTATCGATCCAAGTGATGCATTAACTGTAGTTGAACGCGCAATGGGCGGTTGGATACTTCTTGACGTTGATGGAGATGCGTAAGTGCACTGTGAAATCCAAATTTTATTTTTACTTTAAACATGTGGGAAAATATTAGTGCATGCACATAACTAATTGAATGCAAACTGTATAGGAATGAGGTTATTTTCAAAGGCCTTAACCAATTGAAGCTTACCCGCAGACAACTGATGAGCATCAAGGATGGTTGCCACATTGAGGAAAGTGTAATCAATGCTTGGGCATTCACGCTAAATTGTAAAGAGAAAGACCGAAGCAGTGAGTCTACCAGTAGAGTATTTGCTAAAGTCTTGCCCTGTGTAAGTACACATTAAAAAATAACTAATTGTTTTATTTATTTATTTTAAATTGTATTTAGTACACAATGTATGAATATTACAGCTGAGTTTAAGTACTTTGGAATTGTGTTGTAGCTTGAGACACAGGCAGACCTGGGATTGAGTGCTGACAGTGCTTACCCCCTTTTTGTGGAAGCCATTGAATTTGGGTTGGAAGCAATAAAAGTCCACACTGCACTTTCAAAAGTTGATTTGGTATGCATGTTTTATTGAATTATAATGCATTGATATTAATTTGCAAATTGTAAAAAATGGTTATTTTGGTGCAGTTTTTCTTCCCGATAATGCAAGTGCATCACTGCTATGTACTTTGTCTGAATACTAAGCTGAAGCGTGTGGATATCATTGATAGCTCATCTGCTAGAGCGCACAATATTGATAAATACGGGGAAATGCCTCAAATAGTGGTGCGCAATAATATTATGTAACTAGTACCTAGGGTAAGGTGCACTGTCGTAATTTTTTGGGTACGTGATAAATTAAATTATTTTTGTGCAGTTGAATATGTTTGTGAAGTACATGGATTCAAGAAATATGATGACCAAATCTGAGAAAGTAAGGAAGGCAACACCAAAGAGGCTAGGAATGGAGTGGAGGCAGACGAAGAACTTGTACGACTACGGCATTTTCACAATGCGGCATATGGAAACATATCAAGGTCAAGGCTTGCAAGGATGGAATATTGGGTTGAAGGAAACAGACACAAAACTGGTAGGGATGTTACGCGTGAAGTACATTTCTGCAATACTCCTGAATGAAAATAATGAGTACATGCAGTCAAACTTAGTGAAGGCAAGGAATTTTGCAAAGAAAGCTAAAGAAGAGAAACAAATGCTGGCAGACCGAAAGAAGGGAGCAGCGGCCAATTAGTGAATTTAGTGAAATTTGAAGTTCACATCTGTTTGACTCTGTTTTCACATTACAGTTTACAATGACGTATTTGGATTTTTAAATTAAAAAAAGGTTTGTAATTGTTGTTTGTGTGTGATTCAAGACGTTGAATACAATTTCTTTCTAATATATGTTCAAGGTTTACATGAGTTTTCTTTAATTTGATTTATGCTTGTAGTTAATTTAATTAAATTGCATAACATCCAATATTTTCAAATAGTAATTAATTTTGCATGAGATAATCGATTGTGAATGTATAGAATTCAAAGTAATTAATAATGCAGCATGTGTAAATCCAGGGTGCAGTTGAATATATTTTCTGGTGCACATTATTGGGCTATTGCAACATTTGGGATTGAAGTGTGCACTTTAGAATATGATCCCGTGAATTTTTTTTAATTACATTTGTGTAAATGTATGTTGTAATTACAAGTAATTTGGAGTGCAACTTAAGTTATAATTACATTTGTGGATATATGGTGCACTTAGGAAAAATTACCTTTGTGAATTAAGTTGTAATTACATAGTCTATTCCATTCTGGTCGCGTATTTACTGATCAAAAAATAAAGAAAAAGCACCAAAGTATGGGGAAACAAATTGAACGTATATGAGTAGTCTTGGATAGTGTAGAAATGCAGGGTGCACATAAGTGTATTCAAATATGCATACAAATGATGTTTACAAATGATGTAATTTATAAAACACAAAACAATATTCGCAGACATAATTTGTCAAAAGTCTAGATCCAACGGGGTAAAAAGCAAAGATAATCCAGTAGCTATTTATTCAATGGACAATTCCGGCTATCATGATGGCTCATCTCATTGCACGAACGACAAAGTCTCTTGGGACGTTTAGATTCTTGGATAGAAAGCTCTTTGGAAGACTTGATCCTACGTCCTGAACCTTTATTCCTGGCCTGTTGTGGAGGATGAACCGTGATGACAGAAGGCGCAGTGGAACCATAAAAGGACTCAAATACTGACTGCTTCGTTGATGACTGTGCAACCCTGCTCTGAAGGGAAAGAAGAATCTCTTTCTGATCTTTAATAATGCCTGAAAACTGTTGCAAGTAACTTGGGTTATTTTCAACAAGAGCCATGCATGCATATATATCAGACCATAGAGAGTTCACACACATCTTATTCTCCTGTAACGTGACATTTTGCTGAAATACAGAATCAGAGATTTTGGACAACGGTTTGATTAAACCCTTCTTACACCAACGGGTATTAACTAAATGTTCTGGAATCTGTTCAACTTTCAAATCTTTTAAGACAAGAAAGATGTGACGACAAACCAAACCAATCCGCTGGAAGAATTTACAACTACACTCCGCCTTCATATCTGAAATTTCAAAATGAACTTTAAACACCAAATTCCGATCATCACGAATTTCATAGTCAAAAACACCATCACGGCCATCCAGATGTAACACACGACATGCAAAACAAGATGAACATATTTCCGTTTGCAGGTCATAAAAAACAGAGAGCGTGAAGACATCAGCGGCTGCCTTTTCCATTGTTAAAGGTGTCTTGAGATCTGGAATGTAAGACTCCGAATCAGAATTCAATTTGTCATTATTATGCCTCTGTGCATCCATTGCACTCTCAAACTGCATTAAAAATTCAACTAAGCTAAAGTGTGGGTTAGTAAATTCCCGAAAGAAGGAATTCTCACTCTCAGAGCGCGACGTGGTACGAAGCAAACCAGCCATAAAAGTATCTCTAAAATAAGAAGGAATCCACCATCTGCGCAACTCAAACATGTGACAAAACCAATCATGTGCTGTCAAGTCATATTCTTTCATGAGAGTTGTCCACTTAGCTTCAAATTGGGTTGTGTCAAGATAATGACTCGACACAATTGAATTCAATGACGACATAAAAGCTTGATTATTACTTAAGACCGGACCTACCTTCTGACATAATATGCCACATACAATACCGATGTTTGGAAGTTGAAAAAACCTTCTCAATTGCAATGCGCATAGCTGGGTCTTGGTCTGTAATAATGCAGGTCGGTTCACGTCCCATTGCATGCATGAAACGTGTGAAAAGCCAAGTGTAGGAATCCACATCCTCCTTAAGTAACAAACCGACGCCAAACGTAATGCACTTTCGGTGATTATCAACGCCTGTGAAAGGACCGAAGACCATATTGTACCTGCCAATATAATAAATAGAATTTACCAATTGAGCAGCCAAATGGTAGGTGCATAATTCAGTTATGATAGATGCAAACCACATATGGTCAAGGTGCACATAATTCAAATTTCTGAATAAAATTCAAATAATTCGTCTGGAATAGAAAAAAACAAACCTATTTGTTCCATACGTAGCATCAAATGAAACAACATCACCAAAGAGTGCATAGTTCTTGCGGCAAATGGGATCCGCCCAAAACAATCTTGTGAGCTGCTCACTATCATCAACATCATAATCAAAGAAAAAAGCGGAGCACACCTCTTGTTTCCTGAATAGCTTATCAATGACCATTTGGGCATCGACTCCAGATATGCAGGCCATAAGGTCGCGCTTAAAGTTCTTAAAATCCACAACAGTCGCGCCAATGTTAGAATAACCCCCTACAGTCTCCTTATACAACCTGTATGATTTCTTTGTACCAATATTTGCTCTAAAACAATTTAAAACAAACTTTTGATGACCGAGATCTAAATTCCTATTAACTTTTAGGAATTGTTTTGACTGTTCAGAACACATGGAATGATTGTGACGCTCCTCAAACGCAAAGACAGAAAAACCATCATTACCAGCAAATTTTAGAGTTAAAAGTGCTTTGCATCCAATCCTATTTGACACCCGTTTTCTATTTTGCTTACTACCTTTTGATGTAGAAACACCACTATCAACGACAGCAGGGACAACGGTATTAACTACAGTAGTACGTCCATTATTCTTATAACCTGCTCTACTACATAACAAATAATTCAACTTAGGATGACCATCCTTGGCCTTCGTTAATGTATGCTTACGAACCGTGAAACCCACTTCAGCTGCATACACTTTGTAAAATTCAATGCCAGCTTCTAGATCAGGAAAGAGCATGCCAACAAATGGTTTCTTATTAGGTTGACATTCAGGAGTCCAATACTTTGTAGAACCAGGAGAAATTTCTATATTACATTTCACACCTAT